GCCGCTCCACTGGGTGCCCCCGCAATCTGGTGGATCCCATCCAAGCCTCAGCGAATGAGTACAGGCTTGCCTGGTGATTCCTGAGAGCAGGCGGGAGGGAGGCAGGACTGACTGTATGGGAGAAATGCCTGGGTGGGTAGAAAGCCAGTTGTTTAAGGTGAGCTCGTAGAGAGGAGGATGTTGGTAACTGCATGCAGCCCCAGTCTACGGCACTATTTCACCTGACTTCTTACACAGAATTGAACTTGTATTTGCAGCCTAAGTGAGGGCCCAGGGAAAAGAGGTGGCATGAGGAAACTTCTTGACTGTGATCCTTAAGCTTAAGGATTACACGAGGGCACACTGCTGAGGCGCACAGCACCTGTCAGTCAGTGTGTGAATTCCATAGAAGTCAGGGAGCTGGGCCTATGATTAAGATTGGACACTTCTGCACTATGAGAAGGCATGAACATGCACCAAATATTTTAGTTTCATTCATAGCTCTACTGAGCCTCTCACTAAATAAAGAAAAGACTGAATCCAGAAGGTGGTGAGAAAGGAATTGCAAAGGGGCTCAAGATAAAACTTACCAATCGTGTTTTCTCCTGTGACCCTGGTAATGGCAGCCATGCCCACGTGCCTCTCAATGTCTTTTCCTTGCCTTTTCTAACCCTGGCTGGCTTGTCTGATGCACCCTGTAAATGTGAAGAGGAAACATGGGGCATATCACATGATTTGTTTGAACAAATCCCTGCAGTCTGTGCATCTAAGGTCCCAGGGAAGAGACAGAGCAGAAGATACATGTTCCCTGAAGAAATTGAACACAGAAGGCAGGGATGTGAGCAAAGTTCTGTTTGGAACCTAAATGAATATGGCTTTCTCTGAAAGCACAGCATTTTGTGGAATGTAAGAAAGGTCAGGAATCTCTAAGGTGGCCCCAGTGACTAGGGCTTCTGACCTGCTGAGAGCCAAGGAACAAGAGCGAGCCTAAGGGCGTCTGATTAGTGCAGACAAGTTAATGAAATAGCTGGAATACACAAAGAGAGGATGCAAAAGCGGGTCTGAGAGAAGGCACAAGAGGATTAAAGCTGCAAAAACAATCCAGTAATGGATTTCTCAAACACACCATTGAACAGGCAAGGACAGGTGTCCTGTCAAATCATTTCCTGGTGAAACCTGATCCATCCTTCTGACTCAGGGCCTGCTCACCTCATTTGTAACTGAAGGGCCTGCCCCTGACTCCCAGTGGGGCTCTCTGAGCAGCCCGGAGACTGGCCAGGAAGCCAGCTTTGCAGACAAAGGAACCAGGGACAGGCTGCTTTCCTTCACATGCAGGCAACTGCATCTCTGCATCTGCCTCGCCTGGCGGCTGACGAGGCTGGCACTGCGCATGAAGCTTCACCCATCTCTGTCCTTCTCCCTACCCCCAAACACTAGAAAGGGTGCTCTGATTTTCAAGTCGGTCATCACTTCATTACTCTGTCTTTGATCCCTTAGTGAAACTCAACTTTTGCTCCAGCAGCCAATTTGGGAGTTTGTCTAGTGAAGCAATAGCTAAGGCTTACGTTCAGGAGGCACAGGGACTAAACTTCTGCTTATTTGTTCTGACACCAGGAAGGTTTGCCTGCCAGTCGACCCCCGTGGGGAGCTGGGTGTCCAGCTGGATGTCCTCGGTCCTGCCTGCATGGCTGTTGTGCACATGTTGGCATCAGCACAGAGGGCTGTCAGGCCACATGGCTGACCGGTGCCCAGCTTTGTGCCTCCCCCACTGCACAGCCTCCTGTCTCCAGCCCAGCACTTGTCAGAGGTGCAGAGGGTGCCAAGAAGGGCTTAAGGAGGGCCTGGTATTTCTGGGGCTGGGTGGGTGACGGGGTTGCACGGAGGAGCGTGCTCTGCTCCTGCCTGGATAAGCCCGCAATTGCCATGGAGCAGGAGCCCAGGCCATTAAGATGGGGATGGCATTCTGGTGCCAGACTCCTTTCAGTTGCTCACGCCTTTCTTGCAAAATGATCTGTTAGGTTTAAATATATTCTTGCTCAAGGCAAATTTCCTTGGACTGAGGTAAAGATAAGGGGGAGGGTAGGAAAAAACTCAAAAACTCTTAGTGGAGTATTTTTAGATTTATTAGACCATTGAAGGGAGTGCTTCTTAGTGACGGGGGAATTTTCCAGATGCCCTTGAGCTCACAATACTCACAGCTCGCTCTGTGGGGCGCCTCCTGGGTTGGCAGGTACACGTGCACTGTGTTGAGAACTCCGAGGCCTCGGCATCGTTGGGGTGCCTGGCTTTGGAAAGCAGTAGCCATATTTAGCTAGAACACACTGAGCACAGGCAATCCTCCCCTTCCCACAGTCCATATCTCCCTTCTCTCTGAGAGAAAGTGCATCCTATGTCTTGACGGAGAGGCTCACCCAGGACTGGGCTGTCATTTATGGGGCCCAGTGCAAAATGACAATGCAGGGTCCCTTGTTCAAACATGATGAAGAATTTCAAGATGGGGACAGCAGAGCATTAAACCAAGCATGGACCCCAAGCACGGGGCCCTGTACAACTGGGCATATTGCACGCCCATGAAGCTGGCCTTGGGCTCAGCCTTCTTCCAGTGCAGCGGTTCTCAACCTGTGGGTCGCGACCCCTTTGGGGGTCGAACAACCCATTCACAGGTGTCGCCTAAGACCATCGGAAAACACGTATATAATTACATACTGTTTTTGTGATTAATCACTATGCTTTAATTATGTTCAATTTGTAACAATGAAATTGGGGGTCACCACAACATGAGGAACTGTATTAAAGGGTCACGGCATTAGGAAGGTTGAGAACCACTGTTCCAATGTATTCAATGAGGATTAGCGAGCATTTGCTATATTCTGCATACTGGGCAGCAGGGCTTGGGGTTGGAGGCGTGGAGTGCAAAATAGACTGCTCACTAGAAATTTACAATTTAGTTAGGGTCAGATATCATGCACACAAAATTAAATAATGATGAGATCATTCTTCTAAAGTCCAGAAGGCCTTAAACAAATAATAGGCTTTCTCAGAAAGCACTTCCAGTCACCCACCCAAAGGAAGGGATCGTGAGGCTGGCCTTCCTCGATCCACAGGCATCACATGGTGGGCCTGGAGAATGAAGTGGAGTAAGAGAAATGAATTGGGCAGGCTGTCATTGGTTTTGCCACGCCACTCTGTGGACAGCAACACGCATGTCTTACTCCACATTTATTGGACCTATTTTACCTCTTTCCTGTGACCCTGGAAGTAACCTCTCAAGGAACATTCTATTTTCAAAATAGCCACACTTAGATAAACGGTTGGCCACACTTGGATAAAAGGTTCATAGGACATGGGCCGTGGTAGGCCCATATCCTTGAGCTCACAATGTAGGCCAACTCAACTAGCACATCTGAGTTCACAGGCAACAAACAGGCCCCTTGTACCTGATGGAGGGGCCAGCTCTGAGGCGGTCATTTAATCAGTCATTCAACATCACTGGGCATCTACTTGGCCAGGCCTAGGTTAGGTTCAGAAAACATGTATGAAGACTTGATCCTGCCCCTAAACGGCTCACAATCTGATATAGTGATCAAAGGGTCAAGGATCCTTTCATAGAAACAGAAGGGCCCTCCTGCCCTGGCTTGACTTGGCTTGACTGAGAACTTCTGGAAAGTTCCATTGAGTGGGAACCTCCTGAGCCGGCTGAGTGCCTCAGTCACCAGGCTCTCCTTTGGCGACAGTAGTTTGTTTTTAGTAATTATCTCTCCTGTCAGACACCTGACTCCCGCTGCTCCGGTGGCCTTCTCTGGGTCTCCAGTGGAAACAACAGCCGCAGGTGGCATTGTGGGCAGCTCCCACAGTATCGTTCTCAGGAGCTGAGCAGAGGTGGAGTGGTCAGCAGTCAGTGAGGGTGCCTCGAGGGTGTTTTCTAAGTCCATTATGAAGAGTGGGTAAACACTAGTATTTTCATCTCTCTTATCTTCCTCTCCATCGTCTTATTTCCTCTCTCAAGTTAAATTCAGCGACAGTTCTGAAAACCGAATTTGGAATGTGGTTTTGTTGCACGAATGGCCCATTCTGTTCAGCAGCATCAGTGACTCGGCTCCTACAGAGACAGTTTTGTGGTTTGGACTCTTGGATTGATTGTGAAGCATCCGGCTCTTGTTCCAGATGGACCTCCATCCTCTCTCAGCTTAGATCCCAGTCTTCCTGCCAGTGTGCCAAGCCAGGAGAGAGCCACTGTGCTGCCAGGGCCCGCAGCCTGGGGTCAGGGCCCTCGGCTCCCCCGTATTCCCCTGCCATTAAGCCACACCAGGGAGACCCCTCTTTGCCTTAGAAACCCTGGGGGCATCCACAGCTCCCCACCCCAGCCCTGAGAAGGTATTAGCCATGATGTAGAGCAAGCATGTCAAACTCAGAGGCTAACACGGGCCAAATGAACGAGGCATGCATCCCGTGGGCCACGAGTTTGACATGCTTGATGTAGAGTATAGCTCCCGGGTAGCAGGAACAACCCTGGTTAGAACCATGCTTGGTAACCAAGCGAAATCCTGGGCCTCTCACTTTTCACGATGGATGTCTGAGAAGAACCAGGGAAGGCCGTTCTTGAACTGAAGGAGATACCAGCATTCTCTTATGTTGTTCCCTCTGAGCTCTGCCAGGACATTTGTGCCTTGACCCTGACCAGGTTTAGTAGGGCCGGTGGGCCTGGTCAGCTTGCCCGCATGTCTCAGTGTAACAGAGAGTCTGGTCCGCATCACAGGCTCCACCTGAAGGAATCTCCATGTCCACCCGACCCTGCAGCTCATATGTATCAAGTTGAACTCCAATGCAGTGATGAAGGCCACACAATCCATCCTTTAAACTCCCCTAGACAACAAAGGGTAGAGGAAAGACTCACAGAGAGCCCCCAATGTGAGGTTTTACAGCTGTTTATTGAGACTAAAGACACCGAGACATAAGCCACCCTGGAACATTTCATGTCTCCTCCATCAAAGCCCAACCGGCACCCCCCCTTCTCTCCACAGATCTCCAGGACTTCAAGTTAGACGTGCAGCATGTGATTGAAGTAGATGAGGGGAACACAGCGGTCATTGCCTGCCACCTTCCTGAGAGCCACCCAAAAGCCCAGGTCCGATACAGTGTCAAACAGGAGTGGCTGGAGGCATCCAGAGGTGAGCAAGCAGGAGCCCAGAGGCCAAGGCCGGGGGGAAGTGGCCACCCCTGTCTTCGGACTTGGTATTTAGCCCTGTGGGATCCTGAAGGGACTGGCTCCTGTTATGGAGGTCTTCCGCCCTGCCTGAGGAATGTCTTTGCTCTTTGAGGCACTGGGTGATGTTGCTAAGCTGCGCCATTTGGTCAGGGCTGTCAGCATAGGTTCCAGATTTCCCCCATGTGAGCTCCCGGCCACCAGGCCGACACAGAAAGGCTGCCGACAATCCCAGCCATCCCTGCAGCTGCAGCGTGGGCGGTGGAGCTCATCCCCACAGCAGAGCCATCTTCTTATGGAACTTGAGTTTCTCCCTGTCCCCATTTTCCTGGTAATGCAGCCCTCTCAGGGCGGGGAGGGGCAGGGGGTTGGGGGTGGGGCGAGCTGTGGTCCCCCGAGTATCAGTTGGGGGAACAGGAAGCTTCATCCACAACTGAACCTGTATGCTAGGCCAAGTAGACCCTACTGACTGGACCCCACAGCTCAAAATGTGTAACTTTAAAAACATGTACATTTTAAAATATTTTATTAACTTTTTTGGTTATGAAAGGAATGTATGTTCACTATAGAAAATACGGAAAACTGGTTTCTGGAAGGGTAAAGACCCGAGTCCTGCCCCTCAAAATACGTGGAGACTGCGGGAAGAACATCGATCTGCACTGTCCCTAGCGGGAGCCTGGAATGGCCCCTAGGGCAGTGATGGCAAACCTTTTGAGCTCGGCGTGCCAACATTTTGAAAAACCCTAACTTAACTCTGGTGCCGTGTCACATACAGAAATTTTTTGATATTTGCAGCCATAGTAAAACAAAGCTTTATATTTTTGATATTTATTTTACATATTTAAATGCCATTTAACAAAGAAAAATCAACCAAAAAAATGAGCTCGCGTGTCACCTCTGGCACACGTGTCATAGGTTCGCCATCACTGCCCTAGAGGAAGCCTGCCCAGCCCATAGGGGCCAGTGCTTCTCCCTATTCTGTCTGATATTTGCCTAAGTAGCTCATCCCCAGGGGCAGGCCAGTGCCAGGCTTAGTGAGCCCGGGTATAGGGATACCCCGACTCCCAGGGCAGGCCCCCAGGAGCTTGGAGTGGAGGGCCGGTGGTTCGCCTGCCAGGAAGGTGGACACCACTGGTGTGTCCAGCAGCGTGAGCTGATCTCCTGCTGAGAGGAGCTGAGCCCAGCCCTGTCCCCCCCCGGCCCTCAGCCCCCTGACACCCCTGGCCCGGAGCACACAGCCCAGCAGGCCAGTGATGCAGAGGGGAGAGCTTCCGCAGTGTTCATGGAGAGCGTGGGTTTGGAGTCAGAATGTTCTCCCCGTTGCAGAAATTCAGTAGTGAGGTGGCTCAGAGCTGCGACTGACACACAATGGCAGGTTATGAAGCAAAAGCCCGCCCTCCTGTGGGAATGACCTCTTAGCTCCCAGGGGTGCATCAGGGCCCCTCGAGCCTGACAGCGGCCGAGGCAGCACCCGTTGGGCCACTTTACAAATAAGGGAACCTAATCTGTGAGGTTATGACTTTGCCCGAGATCACACTGTCAGTACAGGCAGGTCCAATGCCTAAGTGCAGGTCTGGCCGACCCCATGTCCTGCTGCCTCTCGCCAGCTTCCTGACGTGTAAAATGCTTTTCCACAAGTCTGTGGACTGACCTGGGGGGAGTTGCCAGCCGGTTAGCTGGTTCCTTAGTTGTTTCGTTCCCTGGCATTCTGTCCCCTGGCTTCCAGGTTTTATGGGAGAAGAGCACTCGGTGGGCTTACTGGGACTCAGGTGCACATCTCGGCTCCTGCCCCGCCCATTTATGGGAGCTGTTGGGTATAGTGCTTTAGGCCCAAACTCACCCATGTTCCCTTCCTGTTCTTTCCTCAGGTAACTACCTGATCATGCCTTCGGGGAACCTCCAGATCGTGAACGCCAGCCAGGAGGACGAGGGGATGTACAAGTGCGCCGCCTACAACCCGGTCACCCAAGAAGTGAAGACCTCGGGCTCCAGTGACCGGCTGCGCGTGCGCCGTAAGGGGCGGGGCCTCCCTGGTAGAGGGAGGAGTCTGGGCTCCAGCTTTGTGTTCCCTGAGGTGGGGGTGAGGGTTGTGGGGCTCCAGCTAGTGCAGTGGTTCTCAACCTTCCTAATGCCGCGACCCTTTAATACAGTTCCTCATGTTGTGGTGACCCCCAATTTCATTGTTACAAATTGAACATAATTAAAGCATAGTGATTAATCACAAAAACAGTAATTATGTTTTCCAATGGTCTTAGGCGACCCCTGTGAAAGGGCCGTTCGACCCACAGGTTGAGAACCGCTGAGCTAGTGGGACATCCAGGACTCAGCCGGGATGGGGGTACCTCCCGAAGCGCCCACTTCTCACAGCCCAGCCCTCGGGCTTGGCTCAAGGGGCTGTGCCTCCTGCTCACTCACCTCAGAGCACTGTGGGGACCCCCCCTCTCTGTGCCTGTGGAGGACTTTCCTGCATGTGTAACTTTCAGAGGAGGGGGTGGCGGGATGTGGGCTGGGCAGGACAGTCGTGCTCAGCAGCGGGCAGCGTCTGTGTGGGAAAGACATGCTGCCTTGTGCCCATCTCGAGGCCACCAGTCTGCACTGCGGACATTTGCCCAACACCTCCCCCTGGTGAAGACCGTGGAGGCCCACACAGCCCCCCGTTTATGTGAAAACAGCTGCGTTTGCTGAGCGTGTTCTGTGCGCCAGGCTCTTTTCTGAATCCCCGTGGATTCCGTGGAGTCACATCTTAAGGTGGAGTTAGGTTTTAGAATCGGCACCAAAGGCAGATTTACTGTGAAGTTCATGAAGCAACATTTCAGTGGTTCCTCACCTGCCTAATTGAGTATCTGTAATTTTGTATTCTTTTCCTTAAAGACGGCTTCCCAAGCTATATGAGTTCCAGGTCGTACAGAACCTGGTCTGTCCCTGGTTGGCACAGAAAGCAAAATCGCACATGGCAGCATGCCACCTGAAGGTCCCGAGGAAGACGGCACGTGGGGGAGCAGCATGCCTTTCAATAAGTTCAACCATGTCTCTCCCCCAGCCTTGAAAAAGGGTGGCTGGCTGCTTCCTCCTCTGGGAACCTAATGAAGTAGTTGATGGGGAGACCTCACAATAGGAGGAATGCTTATCTTTAAACCATAGGTCCTGCTCATCTCAGCAAGATGCTCACGTGAGATGCTGCTCACGCTGTGGGAGACACTTGGGTTCTGAGACCTGTGCATGGGGATCCGTGGATCCCATCTCATCCTGTCTTAGAGTCCCTTCCTGGGTGCAAGCAGGGAAAAACCTGCACCATTCAAGTGTTCCTCTGGCCACCCCTCATCCTTCTCTCCTCCGACACACAGCTGCCCCCACACACGCTTGGCTGTGATGCTGCGCCACTGCAGTCTCATTTCTTATTGTAACAACTCCTGCAGGAAGTCCTTGTCTCGAGTAAGAAAGCCAAGGCCGAAGGGAATTAAATGACTGGCCCCACTTTATGTAGGTCATAAGCTCCTGAAGGCTATTTGATTCCAAATCCATGGTCTCTGGGACTGCCTCCTGGGTCAGGGCCACCCAAGGTCGCACAGAAGGGATCCTCCACACCAAGTCCTGGTCCCACACGCTGTCCTCCCCCCACCCCCCACTCCAGGCTCCACGGCCGAGGCCGCCCGCATCATCTATCCGCCAGAGGCCCAGACCATCATCGTCACCAAAGGCCACAGTCTCATCCTGGAGTGTGTGGCCAGCGGGATCCCGCCTCCGCGGGTCACCTGGGCCAAGGATGGGTCCAGTGTCGCGGGTTATAACAAG